TAAATTTATTTTACCTATGGAATAAATAATCTTTGACTTTGACTTTGTAGGATATTAGCTTGACGTGCTCTTGACCCTGTATTAAAATTCAGTGGCGCGTATACGCGCCGCAGACACGCCGTAGTTGCTACGATGTATGGCGTATTTTGATAAGAGATAGTTTTAATTTTAATTTCGTTTCTTAATTTCAGTTAGTTTTCGAAATGAAGCAACTAAAAAATATAAAAACACGCACAAGGCACCTTTTTAAACATATGGTTAAAAAGACGCATTTATAATAGATTTATGAGACCACTTAGTAGCTGTATGTACTAAATTATTACTATTCGTTTTCGGGTGTTTATTTTGCGTGCATTGCACTAGGCGTGTGTTGTAATCATCGAGTACATAATCAAAAATAGAGACGAAATAAAGGCCATCCATCCCTGGCAACTCATCGGGCAAATGGGCCTTATATCACTTTAAATATCAACTCTCGTTTGCGCTGAAATCACAAATTAGAAAGCTGAAATAGTACATCGCCAACAACTGACCTCTACGTACGCCTCCGTAGGTATATTCCAAAAATATTCTGTATTTATTGTACTGTATTAATTAAAAAAATAAATATGTGTCAGTTAGTGACTTCTTGCAATAAGCCGACGATTTAGTAAAGGACGGTGGAAGTGGTCTATCTTCAGGTGTATTTCAGCATACATACCCGAGTCTAGGAAAATCGCCCCAGCCACTGATTCGAAGAGGTCTCCTAAGGCCTTTGGAACTTCCACGTCTTCAGCTTGTTCCATTTCGTCCTCTTGTATTAAATAGTGCTGGAAAAAGAGTTTATATTGTACAGATTTATTTGTAAAATATTAACAACCTTGTAGGGCTATATTACTGACATCATAAACAACAACTTTTGTTCCAACTAGTTTTGCTAGGCTTATGAATACAACAATCGAACACACAGAAAAATTTCGCCTACCCGGTGGGACTTGAACTCACGTCCATGCTGCATCGTAGCTTTGCTCTAACCATCTGAGCCACGGGTCCAGTTACCGAGTCGTCGAAATTATCCCGTGTGTTTTTGTTATAGATCTTTGTACAGACTTTCGACATTCGTCGCCGCTAGTGACATCTAGTGAGAGATTTTTGAAATATCTTCAAACAGCTTTACAGGTATCGGTTGTACAGGTATCGGCTAACGTAGATGTCGCTTTTCGATCAAACATATTTGTTGAGATTTTTTGTGCAATAAAGCCACTAGTCGTACGTAAATACAAAAAGGGAGAATATCCCATCAAAATACGCTTGATACTAAACTATATAAGTACATATAATTTTTCTATAAAACTATATAATAAATTACCATATGTCTTAATAAATGAAAGCAATGATATACAATTTACCAAGTTGAAAGTTACTAATTAAGAAATGTACTATAATATCAAGGAATACCTAAATGATACATTACAGACATAGGAATAAGTAGATAGTAAATCATTAACAAATATCATTACATACACACATATAATATCTTATTGTTATATGCATAAAGTCACTAACATGTAAATATTATTAACCGACTTCAAAACCAGGAGGAGGTTCTCAATTCGTCTGTATGTTCTTTTTTTTTTCTTTTTTTTTGTATGTATGTTACGCGATAACTCCGGTATTAGTGAACCGATTTTCATGATTCTTTTTTTGTTGGAAAGGGGGTACTTCCATAGTGGTCCCATTTCATTTTGAAGAAAAGCATCCACCTCGAAGGGTGGCTGTTCTCGCATGAAGATTCATTTTTATAAATAGCGCCTAACTTTAATGGTTGATTTTGCTATTTCTCCAATTCAACGCGTTTTTCTCTCAATATACTTTGAGTAGTGAGAACCGATTTTTATTATCTCCAGTGTCAAGACCTGTATAGTGGCGAACTATAAAACTTAGCAAATAGACGTAATTCCACTTACTTTTGAGGTCGGTTTTTTTAATACTCTGTACTGAGATTATGTTAAAAACATTTTTGTTTTTAATTTTATGCTGGTCTGCTTCTAGAGAGAAGCCGTCGGCACGCAATACAAGTTAAAGGAGAGCCTTTAACTTGTATTGCGTGCCGACGGGGTCCATAATATTGGTCTTTTCTGTTATTAAAATCTCATAGTATATGTTATGGTTTGGCAATAGAATATTGAGTATTGAGTATAGTTTTGGACGTGTAACTGGATCCGTGGCTCAGATCGTCAGAGCAATGCTACGTTGCAGCACTGTCGTGAGTTCAAGTCCCATCAGATCGACGAAATTTTCTGCGTGTTCAATCTTTGTATTCATAAGCCTAACAAAACTAGTTGGAACAAAAGTTTTTGTTGTACTGTCTGACACTTTTTAGTTCAATGTCTGGTAGTAAGGTGGGTTTAAACGTGCAAGCGTTCTCCACGACGATCCTCACCGGCGTAGAGCTCCTTGTGAGAGTTCGTCCAGGGAAGTACTGCCACATTACCTATTTCTGCCGCCAAGCAGTAATGTCAGCATTACTGTGTTCCGGTTTTGAAGGGCAAGGGTGCCTTTGAAATTACAGGCACACGGGACTTGTCAGTACCCCGATCAGATCTTTGCGATTTAAAGCTCTGGGTGGCACTGCAAGTGTTATGGACAGGCTTGTTATGGACAGCTTACCATCTGGCGCACGACTTATTCTTTCTGACACTTGATATTATAAAAAACAGTTGTCACCGTTTAGAGCGATCTATTTTGGTATGAAAATAAAATTTTATGAATTATCAAAAGTGTATGTTGTTGGAATTTTACAAATAACGCTGTGTAATATACTTATACTGTTTAATGACATACGGCATTTTGTTTTGGGGTAATGCCGCCGATATTAATAGAATCTTTGCACTGCAGAAACGTGCGCTTAGGGCAATTTACAATCTGGGCCCTAAAATGTCTTTGAGAGATAAGTTTAAAGAGATTAATATTCTTACACTAACATTACAGTACATTTACGAAAAAAAATACGAAAAAAAAAAAATTAAGAAAAATATTAATTTTTTTATGGGAAATAGAAACAAAAAACTAGCTGTTCTTGACAGTTGTCTTCATAAAGTCTCAAATTAATTTATGGGGCAATGTATACGCTTCTATAATAAGATTCCGATTGATATTCAAAATTTGCCACTTTATACTAAAGGTTATTAAACAGCTTTTGCGTACTTTGATGACAAAAATCCGTGGTAGAGACCCGTTTAGCTCTAGCAGGTAGTCTCGATCTAAGATGTTTAAATTAAATTTTGTAATGATAAATGTATTCAAATGTGTATTTACAAAGAGAACCCCTAGAGTTTCTTGCTCGTTCTTCTCAGCGGAATCTGCCTTACGAACGATTACGAGCGATTTCCAGAGTAATTAGCTTATCTATGAAATAAGGATGATTTTATTTTACTCCTGTGGTGTGATGGAATGTGAATGCAAGCTTTGATATGATCAAAAAAATATATTTACCTCCTCGCTTATAGAATGGCCGTTCTCTTCTTGAATCTTAATGTATTTAGTTAATACTTCGTTAAGACCGGGCGACATGTGTCGGAAATACCTGGAATAAAAAATATTGTTTAGTCGGTTAGATTTTTTTTATAATACCAAATGACGGGACGAACAAGTCGCGCGCCTGGTGGTAAGCGACACGCCTGTCCACAGCAGTTTTAGTAGCATGTGAAATAGTTTTCCAGGGAAGTATTGACACCTTACCTATTTTTGCCACCAAGCAGTAATTTCAGCATTACTGTGTTCCGGTTTTGAAGGGCAAGGGTGCTGGTGAAATTACAGGCACATGGGACTTGTCAAGTTACATCTCAGTGGCAGTGCCTCTCAGATCTTTGCGATTTAAAGATCTTAGTGGCACTGCAACTGTTATGGACAGACGTGTCGCTTACTTACAGCCTGAAACGACTTGTGCTTATATAAAATAAATGTAATTAAAAAAGGTGTAACAAATGAATTTCACAATCAACTTACTTGTGGAACCCGTGTCTGGCAGCGAGCGTGGCGAATATAGTGTTGTTCACCAGCGCCGACCGGAGGTCTGTGAGGGCGCCCGGAGAGTGACGCCGAGGGTCCTCGTAGAGGTGACGGGTTATCAAATAGTCTAGTTAACAATAATAACAACTGGGTGACGAAATAGTTTCATAGATTTCTCATTCGATTTCTGATCCGATTTTCATGATTCTTTTTTTTTTGTTGGAAAGAGGTACACAGTATTGGTTCTATTTAAATTTGAACAAAATATTCCAACTCCAAGGGTAGCAAATTAGGGGATAAATCAGAGCTATTGGATTTCAACCACTTTCCGTTAAAGAATAGATGTATTTCCATAAACAGTTGAAGTTTTTTTTTTTTACAAAAAAAGGTGTAATTATTTACATTGTAGTTGGTTTTTGTTGTTATTTATTGTGGTGTCTTTTGTGGTAACAAACTAAATGTAATAATAATAATAATAATAATAATAATAAAGTTTCTTTTTCTTCCACAAAATATAGCTAAAGATTAGTTCACAAGTTTAATTTTTAAGAACAATAATTTTGTGGGAGACTGATGCCTAAACTAAGCATAAAAATGCCTGTGCGTCAGGCCACCAGGTTCCCACCTCTCAGTAATACAAGTACAAGAAAGAAAATATTACAAGGTGTAAAATACGCTATAATTACCAATTAAGAATATTTATGTCGCTTCTCAATCCACAGAGTCTCAGA